AAAACTGATCTGTCTGTCCTTGGGTAGGTAGCCAATACCCTACCTTACAGAACATGACAGGTTTCATCGGTAAACCTCTAACATGGTTCGCTCAACGGCCCTTGGAATTCGGCGGCGGAAATTGTTGTACACACCTAATAATAGCGAATGAAGTGTAATTATAAATAAGTTCTGCCTTAGAATGTCCAAATTTTGGTGCGCATAATTTAGGACACTCTCTAGAGCAGCCTAGGCGTATTTATAAAAGGAGTTTTCAGGACTGATGAAGGACAGTTCAAACGGATCATCCCTGTGGTGGAGCGAAAGGTGAAAAGAGCATCGTGGGTTCAGTATCAGGTAGGATAAATAAGTGAGTTGTGTTGACAGCTCATTACCGGAATCGGAAATTCTTGCGTCAGTGGATTTCAATTTACAACATATTCGAGGATGCTCAAATCGGGAAGCTCTTCTCGTCGAAGATTCAATATTTATTTTCATGGATCATAGGTAGTAGAATATTATTATACGCTTCTATTGGCACCTCTCATAATTTCATATTCATATGGATCGTAGTCAATGTCCGCAACGTTCTAAAGGAATGACTCTCCACCCGGCAGTTACGTCATGTTCAGGTTGTTCGTGTTTTCGTTGTCCGTGTGGATATTCGGATATTCGTGCAACTGAAGTAGGGAAGTAATGAGTGCGGTTCTTCTTCCTCGTCTACTTCTACCAATCCCTCTATGTGCCGTTTGAGCCCGTCCTTCCGAGCGTGACTGTACATCCGTATTTTTCTGTACTTCTGTCTGTATGTGTCCGGATCACTTTGACTGTACCTTCCTTTCTGCCTGTGTTGATTTCTCTACTTTTGTCAGCATGCCTGTTGAGTTGTCATCCTCCTGCCTTTCTGTGTGCTTCCGGGACAGATTGTTGGAATTCAGAGCTATCAGAAGTCGAGAGGAGGCTTGCTGACATAGTAGGTTCGCTTTAGTTTTCTATTTCTTGAGATGCTAGTTTATTCACTGTCTATAGAAATGTTTTCTCCCCTCTCTTCTACTTTCTTTCTCGGATGTACTCACTGTCAGATCACCTGCGGCAATCGTCCTTTTCCTTCTGTTTTGTATCCACTGCACCCGGATTTAGGAGATAGCAAGAGAACCGTCTCGTGACCGAGAGTCAAGAACCGAACTTCTGAAGATATAATGCTCTCTAATTGTAAGGGCACTTCATACTCTATCCATACTCCTTCGGTGATGCTCTATACATTGATTAGTGCAAATACGTATTCAATAAAAATCAGCTGTGATTGGAAGACAGCCATACAGCTTAACTATGCAAATGCATATGTTGCATTTCACACTTTTCATTGTATTACAGTCTCACCATGATAGTACCACCAAAGGGATCACATCGAATATTAAAGTAGACTTTTGTTCGTTCTCAGTTCAACGCGTCAGTGGCACAACAAAACGCTGTTTATTGAAGAACAAAATGCTGTCCACGTCACGAATGTCATTATATATTTATTGCACTTCTGTTCTCCTGCTCTAGGTTCAAGGCAGGGGCGGCAATTATTAGCTATACAACTCTTCAATGACTCGAACATAATATCCAACGTCCAGAAGTGAGTCAGACATAAAATAATGCCGTGATCAGTACTCCAACAATACCCAATAACACTACACATATCAAGGTCCATAGCATTTGCGCCACTCCACCACAGCATATTTCAGAACAGGCGGACGACTTTTTCCGTTTAATGAGAATCTTGGGTGGCAATGGCATTACAGGGTGTCCGATTGGTATGTACATGGGAGGCGGTGGTGGGAAGGTGGGTTGAGGTGAATACCATATAGACATTGGACAATTCGAAACGTGGAGTTTTGGTGCACGAGGATCCGCCATGGACATTACACGGGAATTGGGGACAAGTATTGTACCCGTACTCGATGATGGTGTCGACTGGATCGGTATCGCCGTCTGCGTCCTGAAATTAGAGGGATGATACCACTGAGTCGTCAAAGAGATAAAATTAAATTTCGATATTTCCACATAAGAACTTCCCATCCCACGTATTACGCTCTGCTCGATTTTGAACTTACATTTTTAAAAGCGACGAATAGGATACCTCCTGAGCCAGTAAACTCCCACCGTTTCATGTCATTCTTCTGACTGCCTTTTTTCTATAACAACTATTATACTGTTTTTCCGCGCACCTCACAACTCCAGTCAGCGAAGTCGTGGTTGAGATTATGTTGCTTTCATTATGCTCTCAGCCGAAGCCTTCCGATGGAGCTGATTATTTGTAAATGCTCGAAGATTTATGACAGTCAAAGAGATACACCCATAAAGAAACGCATTTTGATTTAGCTTTCAAGTACGGGCACCTTATTTGCAAGGTCTGAAAGACTTTTTTGTCTGTATTCGTAAATTCCGTGCAGTCGTACTCGTTACAGTCGTTTCGTTAACAAACCTGTTTCGATGTGTAACTTATTAGAGCAAGTGTATATTATCACTTCGAGACGTCTAATTGTTGTGCCGATGATCTGCATTCATATCTATAGTGTCAACCTATGGTCATTTTATCCGCCAACTCCAAGGATCCACCCTATTGCTTAGACAGTAAACCATGTAACAAAGGCCGTAAAGTAACAAATAGGAACCAGGAACCTGCAGAATCTGAAGTACCAATGGGGTCGTGCGTCCGAGGGTGCGCGCGACAAATTGCGCGGCGAAACCCATACCTATTCTGACGACTTTAGCGCCTATTATTTGGGCCCAATTTCGAAGTACAGTAGAATAGTAGGATCAGTTAACCTCGCTAATCTACCCTACTTCAGATTTGGGTCCCAATGATAGGCGCCGGAGTCGTCCAAATTCGCCACGAACTTCGCCGCGTAATTTGCCGCGCGCACACTCGGACGCACGACTTGACACACACCCAGTACCAATACCACTACAGCGCTAGTCCTACAGATGTTTCGAAACCTTTTTGTCTTTTCGCGTGCCAATCTACCAAGCCACTTTTGGTTCCCTCAAGTCCCCTCAAAAAACTATTTCTTACTGCAGGTATTAGTTCTGAAGACCAAAAACCATATCGCCCAGGTTTTGGGGGTGGGAACGTAGCAACTACGGGTTCAGGAAAAAGATTTGGTAGTGCTCGAGTCATGTAAACGACATGATGGGAACTCATTGAAGCTCTCGAGACTATGTTGGTCCTGCGCAGTTGATCTAGACGTGGCGTAATATGTAGGGATGAAATTACTCCATCAGTTTTGCACATTCACTCTCAGCCATATCCAACATTAAGCCATATACTACATTTACTGCTTGCGTTGCGCAGCTTGTGAGATTAGTTGGCGAGGTGCGCATCGTTACGCGCGTTCGTCAAAAGTAGGTCACGCCGCAGACGTCAGATGTGGCGCGTCAGCCCGCGATCTTTGACAAACGTCCTAGTTGTCAGTGGGGCATACGGTTTGAGCTTGGTCCACTGCAGTAAGCTAAAGAGAAGATAAAAA